AATTTCAAACCAGGTAACCCAATCCTCCTCTTTCCTTTGCATCTTTCTTTCCATGAAATTTTTTATGCTAAGGCAGCCCTTCATTTAAATGACAAAGATTGAAAAGTTGCCTCGAGTGGAGCAGTTGTGCAAGCTGTGTTTTTCCAAAGACTGTAGGACTGCTGACCGCACATATCGGCCAGGTTATTGAGGGCAGAGCCAGAACAAGTGATAAAGAGTTGTAGAAGTATGGTTGTGACCAGTGTGTAATTCTTGCTTTCTAAAGACTTTAAAATGCTTTATTTATTTGCAGCTGGGGAAGACAATTCAAGAGAATCAGGAACTCTTAAGATATCATAGCTCAAACTTCTGGTTACAGAAGCTAAGAAGGGTCAGACTTTGGTTAATATTTGGATGGGGAACCTCTTAGGAATTCCAAGGCTGTTGACTAGACTGGGAATTCAGAAGGGAACACAGTGGCAAAACAGCTCTGAAACACTGCTTTTGAGGATCATCTGATAACCTCAGTTGATATGGAATGTGGTTGCTCCTATGTTAATCGGCAGAACCCATTGCTGCCAGATTATTGTGGTATTATAGGGGCTACATTGGTTGCTGTTTCTTTCCCTGTTTCAAGGTGCTGGTTGTAAATATAAAATCTTATATGGCTTGGGCCCAGCTTATCTTCAGGACCACTTACTCTAACTAGAAGCTGTCTGCCCAAATCTGTATACAAGAAAGGCACACTCAAAGGTCCCCCCATCCCCAAGATACAGCCAGGAGGAGTTCAGAAGTGAGTATTCCCTGTTGGGGCCCTCTTTGGTGGACAAGTTGAATCCCTGAAAGAAAAGCAACACCCTCCATCTTAGTATTCCAGAAATTAAACGCTTGCATCACCTTTGGGGACTGAGATGCTGAGAACTATCAGTCTGTGCATCATGGAATGAGGGATGGGTGCTATGGCATTAGGATTTTATTTGCATTACTCTTATTGTTTAATAATAATTATGATGGTGATTTTGTTGCATCATGGGACTGGTAAGCCACTTAGATTTGCTTGATAGATACAGCTATTGGGATAGTGCAGTTACAGAAGCCTGGATGCATCTATCAGGAGTTGTCCTTAATTTGAGGGTGTCTTTTTTGTTTTAGTTCATTTATTGTGTGCGTGCATATATACATTCCAAAATTAAAAGCATCTTGTATGCAAATGAAACAACTGCTACATATGATAAGGCATGCCCTTGTCTCTGATTTAGAGCCATAGTTCACAGTTGTTTATATTGGCCAGGATCCATTTTAAACACTTGGGTTCCAATGAAAACTTTTCCCACACACTGCATTTCTAATTAAAAACACATCTGCTTTCACATGACACTGGAAGCGAGTCATTTACCATCCTGTGTAATTAGCCCCTATAATTTAGCCTAGTCTAAGCACCGAAAGTGAGATTATGTTAGATCCTACCCTTTCTTTGACCACCGCTTTACCTCAATAGAATCAAAGGACACGGGCCGCTATGAGACTGCCCCAAGATGTTTTGCTAGCTGGAGGGGTGGGTCAGGGACAAAATAGCCCCTCTGTCAAACCTAAGAAGAGTGGGCTAGTGGAGGGAGCTTGAAACAAGCTCTGCAGCAACCCCACTCTGTTCCCCAACACAAGACAAACGCTGAGGGGTTCAAGAGAAGCTGCCAGGAATTTCTCTCACCAGCTCCCACCATTGGCTGATTTGTCTGCTTCTGCCCAATGGCAGAGCCAGCTCTGAAAAGCTACTTTCTTCCAGATCAGACTACTGGTTTACTTAGCCCTGTATTGTTTAGCTTCCATGGCAGTGACTCCCCGTCTTGCTTTCACGCTATCCAGATTCACAATGATAGGAGGTCCTTACGCAGCTTTATTTGCCTTGTCCTGTTACCTGAAGGTGGTGGGGACTCAAACCTGGGTCTGCTTTGTTTAAAAACATAGGATCTTCTGCTGAGCGATGATTCCTCTCCTAAAGGAGATAATGATGTAAGAGATTATGGCCAGCCCAAAGTTACTCATTTATGTTCATAAACATGGCGGCAGACCATTTCCTCCTCCACAACAAAGAGGAAAAACAGCAGTGACCATAATTCAATCAAGGATGACATATTCTACATGCCAACCGTTTACAGTGGGAGTGTACTAAGCACATGCCTAATTTTCCAAAAGAATGGGAGATGCTAGGTTGGTTTGAGGCATACCCATTTGTCAGTTGTTTGCTCACTTGCAAAGGAACGGAAGCCTTCCTCTAATGAACAATGGCCCTGTCTTGTGATCTGAGCATACCCAGCTGTTCTTCACTGCCCTCTTTTAAAAAGTCCTTAAGCAGATACTGAATATGACAAACACACCCATGCTTTGGTTCCTCTCAAAACCAACCCAGGCCGTAATTTGTTTGGGTTTGCACAGAAACAACTCTTAGATGATGGTTTCTTTGAAGTGCTTCCCATGAAAGAGGGTTGCATATGAATAGCATCAGTACAAAATATCAAATTATACACATTTCAAAATGAGTGCATTGGTTTGTGAGACATTTAAAAATGCATACCTAAAAAGTGTATTTGGTTGCACTCAAAGTGGGTCACTGGTCTAAGTTCCAGCAGCTGTGGAACATCTGTAGCGAATAAGCAGATCCTCTCTTGCTGTGTGAAATATATACTTTAAGCATTAAAGCCGAGAAGAATCTGGACACTTTAAAGTCATAGGCATTGCATCGCTAGTCTCTTTTGTGTGGTGTGTGTAAAATGATTGAACACAAATGTATCTCCTGATGTATATAAGTGATAGGAAACTGTACATCTCTTAATGGTTGTGAGGGACAAAGAACCATCCTTCATCAAGGACTCTTGGTACAGTCAGAGTTCTTGCCTGAATGGGCAAATACATATGTCCCTTCCATTGTTTGGGTGAGTGCAGAGTCACATAACCCAGTGTTTCTCAACCTCAGCTATCTTAAGATGTGTGGACTTCAACTCCCTATATTCCCCAGTCAGCATGGGAGTTGAAGTCTGCACATCTTAAAGTAGCTAAGGCTGAGCAACATTGATATAACCAAATGGAGATGAATTAAATGGGGGTAAGAATAATTAAAAAATGAGCTGACCTTTCCTCATTCACGCTGCTATGTCAAATCTAATGGGGTCAAGATCGTCATCATCATTTATCAAACTTGTATGCCACCCAACTCCCAAAGTCTGTAGCACAACATTCATACCAAAAGGTTGCAGTACCTGAAAAGTATGAAAGTTAGATGCTATCAAGTCAGATTCAGCTCTTGGGGTCTGTATGAACAAATGCTTACCATCTTGACTGCCTTTGTCAGTTGCATTTCTGACAAGCAGCAGAAGTTTCCTAGAACACATCATGCATGCAAGAGATATCATAACCAAACTTGGCTTCATGAATTCCATACACATTTTTTATGATTGACTCTCCCACAAGATTTGCCAAACTCAATACTTTGGGGCAGGAAAGATTATCTGAGTTTGCAATAAATTTCGGGTCACCTAATCTAAGAAGGGTTGTGTTTGCATGACATATTAACCCATGTACTTTACTCAGTTGACTCAGTTTTCTAAGTTTGCATAGAATGATACTGGTTACATGGTTATATGAACTAGATTTGCATGAAACACTAAGCTAAAATGTGGTTTGCTAGTTTTGGGTTCACTGCGATGTGAGAACATCGTTAGATCTTCCATACAGGTTCCAGTGATTGATTTTATTTTTCTCCTCCTCCTGTTTGATGATGGCTAATATTTGGTTCTCAGGCATTTCCTGGAGACAACACAACACGGACTCCAATCAAAACGGACCTCTACCTGCAAGTGGTTATCTATGACCATGTCCTCAGAAGAAAAATCTAACTATCAATTCTCATGAGGACTAAATGCATTGGCAGAAGTCTTTGACCTATTGAGGAAGGAGGCAGTCTTCCAAGATCTAAATGGGATAAGTACTTAAAACTGCTGTCTTAGATAGCAGGACCTTTATAGAATGCTTCCCTGTGGCTATTCATTAAAGGGTTGTTGTGATTCTCTGTCTGCTTTAAATCCTTGCATTTGCACAGTAATATTAAAACTGTGTGCAGACACAAGGTGAGATGCCTGCTTACTATTTTTTAAATGATAGGTTTCTTTCACTTTAGAACTCGGTAAATGCCATTGAAAAGAAAAAGTGTTATCACTCTAAAAAATGTGTAGAAATATGTATGAACCAAAGGAGTAGTTGTAGAGAGTAAAGAAGACGACCTTGTCAGAAATATGCAAGAACCATTACCTAGACAAAAAGGGTTGAAACATTTTATAAGGCCAGAAGTATGAGATAATATTCAGAAGCAGCTCGGGCAGATGCGACCTTGATTCACTCGAGTATAAGAAGGGGGAGGAGATATAGCACAATCAGACTTGCAAGAGTCTGTTATTATCTCAATAAAAATAGTTTTAGCCTTCCTGTGGAATTGATTTCTTGGTCTAGTCTACCTTGTGGGGCTAGCACTAGCCCTGATGGGTTAGGCCATGAACTCAACTAGCCCATTATTGTATAGCCAACCAGATGTATTCAGGAAGCTTACAAACATAAAAAGGAAGATGATGGGCGTGTTTCACTGTAGCTTCCCAGCAGTTGTATTAAGGTCTGCTTCCTGAGATCCATGAAGTAGTAAATAACTGTCGGCTTAGTAGCCATTGAGGGCCTGATCTTCCATGAATATCTCTTTGCTGTTTGTTCAGTAACTTCCAACTCTACGTGAACTGATGGACATCATTTCACCAGGATTGTCTGTCAATTATTGCTTCTTTGAGTCTTACAAGCTCTTGCTTGTATTACCACTGATAGTATCTAATCACCTTGCTTTTGTAGGCCTCTTTTCTGTTGCCTTTGATCCAAGCAATAAAACTTGCCTTTGCAGTTTGTGTCCAAAATATTTAAACTTTAGCTCAGGGTTCCTCAACCTTGGCAACTTTAAGACGGGTGGACTTCAACTCCCAGAATTCCCCAGAAGGCTGGCTGGGGAATTCTGGGATGTCCAAAATATTTAAACTTTAGCTCAGGGTTCCTCAACCTTGGCAACTTTAAGACGGGTGGACTTCAACTCCCAGAATTCCCCAGAAGGCTGGCTGGGGAATTCTGGGATGTCCAAAATATTTAAACTTTAGCTCAGGGTTCCTCAACCTTGGCAACTTTAAGACGGGTGGACTTCAACTCCCAGAATTCCCCAGAAGGCTGGCTGGGGAATTCTGGGAGTTGAAGTCCACCCATCTTAAAGTTGCCAAGGTTGAGGAACCCTGCTTTATCTTCATTATTAGCGCTTCTGGTGAGAAACCTGGTTTCCCTTCATCTAGTATTGAACGATATGTTATTCTTGCGCTCCAAAATATTCTCAACACTTTTTTCAAGCACTGCAATTCAAAGGCATCCATTTTTTTTGTTTAACTTTTGTGATGGTCTAGCCTTCACATCCATGTATCACAACTGGGAAATCTATGGTCTTGACAATATATTCCTTTTCTGTAACTGTGAGGTCACTGCACTTTAATATTTTGTCTAGATCTGTTATCGCCTTTCTCCCAACTAGCAGAGTTTCTTTATTTCATAGCAACAATCACCAGCCCTGTGAATTTTTCATCCTAGGAAGATGAAAACAGTCAGTAAAAGACTGTTTCAACTTCTTCTCTGCTTATTTGCATTAGACTGGCTTTATCTAACTTTTTTTTTTTTTAATATTGAGCACTAGTGTAGCTTCTATCACCTTCAGCAAGAATTTTCAAAACTTCCTTGCTTCCAGCCATCAAAATAGTGTCATCAGCATATCTGAGATGGTTAATACTTGTCCCAGCAATGTTAATTCATTCTTTTTCTACCAGTGCAGCATTTCTTATGATATATTCTACAAATAAGTTAAATAAATAAGGTGACAGTTTACAACTTCAGCTCAAGCCCTTCCCAATTTTGAACCATTTAGTTGCTCCATGTTCTGTTCTAACTTGCTTCTTGGTCATCAGACAGCAGAAGGAAGAGTGTTGACGCTTTTGAACTTTGGTGTTGGAGAAGACTCCTGAAAATACCATGGGCAGCCAAGAAAACAAACAAATGGATCACTGAACAAATCAACCCAGGGTTCTCACTTGAGACACAAATGATCAGGCTCAAATTATCCTACTTCAGACACATTAAGCAAAGACCTATCTCTATAGAGAAGGTTCTAATGCTTGGAAAGGTGGAAGGAAAGAGAAGAAGAGGAGGACCAGCACCAAGATGGAGGGACTCAGTTACAGTGGCAATAGGGATGCCATTGGGAGAGCTGAAAGAGCAGGTGAGGGGCAGATCATCATGGAGAAAACCTAGCTATGTGGTCACTAAGAATCGACAACAACTTGATGGCACATAATCAATCATCAGACAAATCGTTCAATAGGTAGATGAGCTGGCCTAGTATGCTTTTCAGGATTACCCACAATTTGTTGTAGTCTGCACAATCAAAAGCTTTTGTATATACAGTGAAGCAAAAGTAGACGTCTTTTTGGAACTCCCTTTCTTTTCCATTAGCCTTTGGATGGTAGCAGTGTGATCTCTGATGCCACTACCTCCCCTGACTCCAATGTGTATATCTGCCAGCTCTCACTCCAGGTATAGCTGAAGTCTGAATTCCCAGGTCCTTGGTCTTATCTTACTTGCATTTGAGATAGATGCAATTATTCAATAATTTGAGCATTCTTTAGCACTGCCCTTTTGTTATTAAAATATAGAATTATTTTTTGCATTCGCTTCCTTACTGCTTATAAACCACAGGATGCACCTTCTCTGCATCATCTTCTGTTCTGTTGATATATCATCCTGCAGTATACTCTAAATACATTATAACTTGTCGTTTTCCAGAATGTCTGGCTTCAAACTTTCATACGTATCGTCAATTTGGGGAATTGTTTTGGTACAACCCTTTTGTATGTTCATGCTATCTCTTGTTTATATTTCCTTCTGATCTCTGCCTTTGTGTTTTTTTTCTTTGCATGAAAGTTTCACTTGATTTCTATAAATAAATAGCATGTTCTTCACATTTGATTTCTTTGCATTGCTTATTTACATCTAACTCACTTCTTGCTCTTTTCTGAGAGTCAGAGTTTAGATGGGCGATTTTTCCTGCCTCTGTTGCCTATTGCTTTCAGCCTTTCTCCAGTATTTTCAACATATCAGTAGGTAACTATTCATCTTCTTTCATGATGTTATGAATTTCAGTCCAGGGTTCCTCATGCACTCTATTTGTCAAATCTAATCCATTAAATCTATTTTTTATCTTCACTGCATAATCATAAGGAGTACTGCTGAGGTTGTATTTTGTTTATCGGATTATTGGTTTTCTTTAGTTTAAGTTGTAATTTGGCAAAAAGGACTTTGTGATCTGGACTGCTGTCTGCTTGTCCTTTTGCTCACAGAAAATAATTATGCTATCTTTATTTGCAGAGTATATAATCCGTTTGATTTCAGTGTTGTTTATCCAGAGATGTCTGTTGGTAAAGTTTGCTGGAAGAAAGTACTTTGTATCAGCATCTATTTTCTTATGTATGTATTTAGTCGATTTATGGCTGCTCATTTCACGAATGTGACTCTGGGTGGCTAATAACACATTAAAATACCAAGGCCAATATCAGCAAAACATTAAAAAAAACAACAACACATTTTTCTTGGCAAAATTGAATTAGTCTGTCCCTTGCTTCATTTCATATACTGAGGACAAATTTTCCCATTATTCGATATGGTATTCTACTTCCCACTTTAGCATTCCACTCTCGTAAAATTAGTATGAGATCTTTTTTTGAGTGTGGTCTCAACAAGATCTGCAAGTTGCCGTAGAACTGTTCTGCTTCCTCTGTGTCTGTAATGGGATCATTGACTTGGATCACTGTAATATTGATTAGCTTGGATTCAAACTGAGGTCATTCCATCATTGGAGGCTTATATTGGAACACTGACTTTGAGTGTTATTACAAGTGAAGGCTATTCCATTTCTTCTATGATTTTCTTGTCTCCAGTAAAAGATCTGATGTCCTTCTGATGTGAAATGACCGATCCCAGTCCATTTCACTTTACTGATTCCTAGAATGTCAGTACTCAGTCTTGACATTTTTGCTCTTACAGCATCAAGTTTGCCTTGATTTATAGTCCTGACAATCCACATATTAATGATATACATATTTTTGCAGCATTGAACTTTCCTTTTGCCTCTGGACATGTCAGCAAGTGGATGTCCTTTTGTCTTTAATTCAGCCATATCAGAAGCACCAGTGTAACTCACAGTTGCCCTCTGCTCTACCTCAGTAGCTCATTGCAAAATGTTTGACCTGGGGTACAGGACAGAGTCTCAATATCAAGTTGACATTGTCCAGGTTGTGAATGCCCATTGGGTTTTCTTGGCAGAACATTGAGTAGGTAGCCACTTCTTTTCCTGAGTGGATTGTATTTAATATGATCTCTCATCTGTGACCTGCTGTGGGTGACCCTGCTGGAACGTACATTCCAATTGATAGCACTTATAATTGGCATGCAGGAAGCCCATCACCATTGCAAGGTAATGATCTATGAAGAAGCAAAGTCCCCTTTGAAAGCCATGGAAATGATAATGGATTCCATAGTTCTGTCTTACCTCTAGTGATGTCCATGGGAAGTAACAGCAATTAGGAATGTACACATCAGCCAAGATCCAATTTTATCCAAATCTGAAATGCAAAGGCAACAAGATATTCCTGAGACCAATTTAAGATTCAGTTTGACAGAATATCCAACTGTAGACTATAACAGGAACTTATCAAAAGGTGAGCAGTTGCTGCTGCTGCTTTTTTTCCCCCTTCCTTTCCTTCCTTCCTTCCTTCCT